TCACTCACTCACTCACTCACTCACACTCACTCACTCACTCACTCACTCACTCACTCACTCACTCACTCACTCACTCACTCACTCACTCACTCACTCACTCACTCACTCACTCATTCACACACACTTCCCACACTTTTTCAACCTCCTACCTTTACTTCTATGACTCATTTTGACTTCCTCTTTCCCTCCCATTTACTCCCCTATTTACATTTCCACTTCCACTAACACTCACACTTAAACTCTCACCCTTAGATACACTCTCCTCTTTCTATTTCCACTGCTACTCAAATTCATACTCTCACTCTTACCTTCATTCCTACTCCCTCTCACTCTCTCACTCCCAATCCATCTTCCACTTCCACTTCCGTTTCTGCTTCCACTCCCACTCTCACACTTACACTACCACTCTCACTTCCAGTTTCACTCTCTGTTTCAATCTCACACACACACTCGCACTTACTCTCACTTTTCCTCTTACTTTCACTCTTACTCATATTCTTATTCTTACCCTCATTCTTACTCTTACTCTTACTCTTATTCTTACTCTCACTGATATTCATTCCCATTCGCACTCACGATCAGTCTCATTTTGATATGGTGTTGCGCCTCATCCTCACTCACTTCCTCCCTTTCAGTGGAAAAAAAAAAAATCCCCATACTCACCACTGTTGAGTATGACTGAGGTGGGCTGATGGGGAAGGAGGTCTCATCACTAGCGAGGTTGACAAAGGGCGAACACTCATCATCATTTGTGTTGGTCGGCGATAAGGTAAGCGTTTGCAGTTCACTGTCCTCTATTTTCTTGGACATGCTTTTGAAATTTCTGTCCTAGTAATAAATCTGCACAAAGGAAGAAGAAAAAATATAACAAACAAATTTCAAAGTTTTGTCACTGAAAAAGAACGCAAAGATGTCCAGTTTCTATCTAAAAGGTTGCTGTTTTCATAATCACAGATAATATGTTTAATTCATACTGAACTGAAATAAAAAATCTGAAAATCTAAACAACTTTTGCACTAGAAATTGCCGGGTTCTACCACTGGTAACAAGCAAAATGTTTAATGTTTCAAAGAAATAAATGTGCCAGACATCAAAGGTCATATAGCACTATGGTAAAGCATTGTGTCAGAAAGGGCAAAGTTAAAGATTACTATAAAATGTGTTAAATGTCAAAGATTAGAGAGCATTATAGGATAATATGGTCGTGAAAAGGGAAAAGAGGGGAGTAAGTGAATTAGAGCATAGATTAGTAGAAAGGGGAGGGTTAAGGAGGTAGGGAAATTGAGTGAATTATAGTGTATGTATCACTGGGGAAGGTATAGGAAAAATGTTCAAGGAAAAATTGATGGCTCTTGGAAAAGTAGGAGAATATCCAGAGTGACGGGAAGGTGTTAGAGGTCAAAGATTTGAGAGTGTTATAGGAGAATATGGTAACAAAAAGGGAAAAGTGGGAAGTAAATGAAGTAGAACAGGGTTTAGTAAAATGGAAAAGGTTAAGGGGGTAGGGCAATTGAGTGAATTGCATTGTATCTGTGACTGGGGAAGGAATAAGGATATTGTTCAAGGAAAACAGAGGTGGTTGTTGGAGAAGTTTAAGAAATTGGGGGATGGGAAAGAGGGCCTGGGGAAGGTGGTGAAGTATCAGGAAGTATGTCTGGAGGGGAGGGGTCTGGAGAAGAACATTGTTGTGATAGAAGGGATTTGTGTGAGTATTCCATTGGGAGTGGAAGAGAGGGTGGGGTATGTTCGGAGGGTGTAGGAGAAAGGGGGATGGAGGGAACTTGATATGGAAGAGGATGGATAACTGCAAATACTTTAAATGTGGAAGGAGTAGGAACAGAGGAATTGGGAGGTGAGTGAGGGAGTGGAGTGTTCCTTTGGGTCATCTTTAGAAAGTTTTGTATGTCTTCAAGGGTTTCTGGAGGGGAGCTGGGTGAAGAGGACTGAGAAACAAAGGTTCTCTTATGAGTAGGAGAAAAAGAGATAGATATTTGAGAATCAGAGGAAGAGGAAGATGTAGAAGAGGATGTAGTAGAAGAGGGTGGAGTGGAACATTTAGTTTGCCTGGCATGACAAATAAAAGGAGGAAGAGGAGTAGGTATCAGGGGAGTGGTAGATTGGAGTATCTGGATTTAGACTGGAAAATTAATTTGACTGGGGTATAGAGCGTGTAGATGAAGGATGGTTTTGCGTATAGGGGAGAAATACCTTAAGAGATGCAGAAATATCTTGAGAGGATGGTGAGGGAGCAGAGCAAAGGACTGTTTTGGAATAAATTGATAGAGAAAAACCTCGTCGTTATGCTTCTTGTTTGGCCTCACATAGAGTGAGGCCTAGTTTAAATCTGAGGAATGCTACCTCATATTTGAGCTTTTAGGCAGGGTAGCTTCTATAAAATACAACATAGAGTGAAAAAGGGGGTAGACATTGAAGAGGACTGTGCAGCAGATGAAGAGAAGAATGTTGGGAGAGAGGAAGGGGTGCTTCTTTAGAGGTTGAGTAATAACCTGGGTGGGTGTTTTGGAATGGTTAGAGTTGTTCGTAAGCGTCAAAGAGGGGGTATTAGCATTAGTGGTCAGAGCCGTGGTCAAAATAGGGGTAAGGGTCTGAAAACGATCAAAATCAAATTTTGATAGGCTTGCAGATGAAGGGGCAAGCCTTAACCCACTAACACCGTTATATTTTGAAGTTGAAAATAAAAGTTTCCGGGCGGCTACAAAATCGGCGTGCAAAGCTGGCCCAGACTCTGCCTACGTGCCCATCACGGCCCGCTGCTGAGTCGGAGCGCAAGTCCCAATACAGCGTCACACCTGCGGGACACCCAACAATTTTTTTTTCTGGGTGTCTCATATGTGAGATGTCGTGAGTTAATGCCCCTATTAAGGGTAAAGAATCTTCTTTATTGGCCATGGTGAACCTGAATAAACTGGGGAATAGAAACGGTCTACCCCTCAGGGTCCCCATAAGGTGTAAGGGCTAGGCAATTAACCAAGGGAATACCATACCCATGGCTCCCGGAGGCCATTCGTGATCAACACAAAGCCAGCCTTACATCCTTTCAGCACGGCTCTCACACCTTAGGAAAGGGATATAAGAAGGGAATGAAGAAGATATGGAAGAGGAAAGAACGAGCAAGGTATTGGGAAGGAACAAGCAAGAAATATATATATACAACTTTTAAAAAAAGGAAAATAGAAATTCTAAAAAATAACAACACATATTTGGAGCATGTATGTAGTTATAAAGTTTCGTTACATTTTCTTGAAGTACCCCATTTCTTTTAGACATTATAAACACAAATACTATGGATGACAGATAATACTTCAGAAAAAAGGTGCTTCTTATAAGTGTTCATCTGTTCTTTTGGTGAATATCCAATCAGACATTCTAGGATGCACAACATTGTATATGATAAACTCTGATTAATGACAACAAAATACCTAAAACAAGCTAGGAGCAATATAATTATACAAAGAAAAATATTAAACAGTAAATCAACTTTTTCTCTTTGGGGATCCACATTGTATCAAAATAATAATATCAAATAATCTAAACTTCCTGGCATTACAGTTTTCATTTTTTAAATTTTGAAATACCAGAATTTTCGGCAATCTGAAAATCCAAATTTCCTTATAATCACACTTTTTGTTTCACAATGCATGTTGTATATAAATTATTAAATATTTCTACAACAGCATATTGTCTTATACTTTGAATTACTGATTTCACCAACCACAATGAACATCAGTACCAAATACAAGTACTTTTTTCATACAACACAGAAGTTTTACAAAAATATCTTCTTAATAACATTTAGTAGTCCTCATCCCAGAAGTCTTTAACCCTTCGTGTTGGGGTGGCATGTCATATAAACCATGTCCACAGTGAGTTTAGTTTACGAATTGTGTTTACCCATGGATGGCTCTATAAGTACTTAGTTACCAAGTAGTCAATTAGAAGTTGTACTCATCTCACCTAAGTATGCTTTGTTTCACTTTTTATTGCTTATAGTACTTCAATAATATCAGAAAATTCACAAAGTCAATAATTATAATACCAGTATCACTCTTAGGCCACAGCAATTTTTTTTCCTTGAATAGTGGGCCCACAGACCTTAATTTTCAGGAAAAAAATTTAAAAAGTAAAAACCCCAAGTCTTTTTTATTCCAATTTTGCATTGATATCGTGACGTCCGCGGAAGAAATAGCAAAAAATAAATACAAATCAATTTCTGTGATTCACTGTGTATGGTATCGTTTCTCCCGTCCTCAAAACAAAAATAAAACATATTTGGCGGGAAAACCTTACTCTCTTGTGTCGTGTCATTTTTTATTTTCATTTCCAAAATAACAAATTCTGAATGAAAGAATTCTTTGTCTGATTTCATTCAACTCCTCAAAAGATTTATAGTAAGACAGAATTGTACTTCCTCCAGGTGTGGCTGGAACTGATGCATTCCTTCACTTCCGATCTTTGGAAGGTAGGAGGTACACTTTGAAGCTGGGGATTTTTTTTTTTCCCCTCCTGCCGACATTTCATTATCACCAGACTTGCCCACTATTCAGGAAAAAAAATTGCTGTGACCTTAATAGCATAAAAAAATATAGAAAATTCAAGGAATGGGGAAATCAGGTGAGGTCACATTGGGCTACTAATTGACTCCTGTGCACTTGTGGAGCTATCTGTATGCAACAAATTTCACAGTAAACAATACATAGACCTGTGTACAAAGGGTTAACATTAAAAATATATCTCACCAAATAATCCGTATGGATAAATTCTTTATTTCTCTTATACTAAAAAAGCCCCTAAAGTATGTTAGCTTCTCTTTGGTTTCATCTACATTACACACATTCGTACCTGAAAAAGCAATAGTAGTAAGCATCTACAACTGATAAAGAATAGCAGAATTACACTACTGTGACTAAAGGAATTCTGAATAAATTGTTAAGATCTATGATGAGCTACATACCAGTTTATGTACTCCCACAGTGCAAAAG